AAAACTTGTTTCCCTTGGGAACAGTCACAAACACATGTTTCTTTCTTCTCAACTGCCACTCAATCACATTACAACATAGCAACCAAATAGAAGCTCTGTTCTGTTTGGGAGAAGGGTTGTTGATCACTATACAGTGGGGCTGCAATCTCTCCAGTTGCTGCCAAATACCATCTTGACCCTTCATAGTGGAAAAGTTGTATCCTGCCTTGAAATCCATAGGAGATGCAACTTTAACACCATTCTTTGAAAGGAACCAAGATAATCCACTGTTTCCATGAAGTAACTCAACAACATCAGGATGATCATCATTACAGAAGAAAAAGGACTGTTCTCCGAATTCGGCATCAACATACAGTTCGTGATCTTCACGCAAGTTCTCCGGATTCTCATCATCTAATGCCGGAATGGAAACATCATGCCACTCATCGTGATCACGTCTAACCTTTGACTGATTCACACGTATCACTGCCTTACCAGTATTGGCTTGGACCATAGCTCCTTCTTGTCCAAGTACTGTGGCACGAACCCAACGTCCTTTATCCTTGAACTTTGATGAATCCTGAGTCCAAACAAAAACCTTCTCTCCTTGGAAATAAGGACCGTCACTTGGCATAGTCCTTCTCGCAAGATCTGCTCGAAGGTCCTGAGCTTGTCGTGCTTCTTGATGAGCTCTCAAAGCCACACGTTGTAGTTCCAAATTTGTACGATCTTGTGCGGCGGCATTAGCTGACAATTGCTCAGGGCTTGCGGTCTCAAGGTCAAAAAGATCTGGTGGACGTCTTCCAGTTGCTATCTCTATTGGTGAATATCCACTGATAGTCAACTGACAATTTCTTGCCCAAACTACCTTCTTGACCACTTCTCTGACCGTAACACCACGAAAACGTGGGTCATCCAGATCTACCTTCATAACATGCCACATACGTTTGAACAAACGTACAGCTGTCTCTGCTCGGTTCGGCCAAGGAGTTCTTGGCCCACAAGGACATTGTTGTATACCATGGAACCTGTAGTATTCAACAAAAGCATCTGTGAAAAAGGCTTCGTCTCCTACGATGGCCTTTGGAACACAGTTGTTCTCATCAGACCATTGCCTCAATGCTTGGATGGTGGTTTGATCTATGAGGTCTTTCTGTGCCGTAGCCCAGAGAAGATTTGTGGCACCATCAAGAACAAGTAGAATGATATACTTGTTCTTGTGAAGTTCAACCTCACAATGATCAGCAAAAACAACATCACCAAAACATGAAGCTCTAATACCGGAGACTCTGGCTCGTGGCGGAGGTGCCACTGAAGTGTTACAAACACGGCAGTTCCTGACAACTGATTCATACTTCTCTAAAAAGAGTCAGGAAGCTTCAACATAGAAACACGTCTACGAAACTGAGTAGGACTCATATGGTAGTGCTTCACATGAAGCTTATAAAGCTCTACCTTGTCCTCCAGTCTCTGTAACATCTTCCTATATGCCGGTGTCATTGCAACAACTTCACTACCAGGTAATGGGATTGAAATCCGCCTAGGCTCAAGAGCGCCATCACCTGGTTCAAGTGGTTCATGTTTATCACTTGATGGTCCTTTTGATGCTTTAGGAATTTCTACAAGTTCACCTTCTGGCCTCTCAGGTGGTTCTGAGGGAGCATACTCCTCAAGATCATCACCCTTTAAATCATTCTGAGGCTCAGATGGTTTCGACTTGTGTCCTTTCCAAAATGGATCAAAACCCTTGGAAGTATACCGAAACTTTGGCGGCACGGGCTTTTCCGCGGCACTGGCTGGTGCACCTTCCTTCTCTGATGAGAAGCCTGGTTCCCTGTCCTTTGCAATGGGAACCTTCTCTGAGGAGGAGCGCACCACTGCATCGGGATCACCAATGCCACGGTGCTCAATGCCAGCCTTCCTGATCTTTAGATCTGGAATTTTGGCATCTGGCTTGAACTTAAAAATTGTTCTACCACGCCATTCATAGCCAATTTGTAGGTCCTTCCATTTTGCCTTGCGCCAATCATCTTGCTTCTTGATCTCTTCTCCTCCTTTCTTCTTCTTGATGATTGTCAATCGCAAGTCTTCCAGTAGGTCAGTGTCTACAGGACAGGACTTAGTTGCTGGGAAAAGAATCTTTCTATAATCCTTGTGGTGACGTATCAGTTCTCTCTTGTGAACATCTACTTCCCAGTAGTCAACCACAGGATATGCATGTTCAGCTACATCTTCATCACTATTGAGGTCAACAGAAATATGACCATACTCATAGTGAGTGAAGTGAGAGTAAAAACTCTTCTCGCGCCGAGTCTGCAAATTCACGTCAGACAGATACCATGCAATATCTTGGAAGTCCAAAACAAGATGAGTACTGGCTGCAACCTTCAACTCCAAATATTTGATACCAAGAGGCACCGATGTCAGATAAGCATGTTGAGGTGTCAGCCTGAGTTCAAAGCCTAAGTTCCTCATCTGTGGCAAGCTCATAAGCAAAGGGACTTCTCCTTCTTCCACTATGTCGAACTCTGTATGGTGGATCGTCCATGCACGATCATACATGTAAATCACCAGTTTCTGAGAGCAAGTAGCCTTCTGGGAATTGGCAAAGTAAAACTTGCTCTTGGTAGCCTCAAAGGAGTACCATAATCCACAATCTGGGTGATTGTCGACATAGTTGCAAAAATGGTCGACTGCTCGCCTTGATCCCATAGCTCTAGTGCATCCAATGTCCAGGATTGCAATAGTCGGCGGGAAGCGATTCTCAGTCAAAAATGAAATGGCCTGCATCTCCTTCACTTCTTCCTCAGCGCTCATAAGCGCAAAGCCATCAGGAGCCTTTGTGAGCATCTCCTTTGACAAAGAGTACCTCACAGGGGCACCCATGCCATTGAAGATCGTCTCACCATTGTTGACCGCGCAGTCAGCTTCATCTTGACATGAGGTCATCATGCCTGACAGCAAGTCCACCTCACTGTCATGGACTTCAGCTGCTGCTGTCACACAATGTGCAAAGAAACCTTGTTGACCTCCTGATGCTTGTGAAGATCTTGAAGGTGCAGGTAAAGAACGTGGCTGTTGTGGATTTGCATAGTTTGCATCTTGTTTGCCATCTCCTTTATCTTTTCCTTTTCCTTTCTTGCCTTTTCTCTTGCCTTTTCCTTTTCCCTTGTGGGAAAACCATGCTTCTTCAAGCTGTTGCCAGAAGTCATTGGCATCATCATATTCTCCTTGAAGATAGTCATTCATATCCTCGGCAAGAATGGCATCATATGCTACTTGGTTTGACTCCCAAGTGTCCTCATAAGGATTCTCTTCAAAGTATTCATCTGGAAAAGTTGTCTGTTGCTCATCAGCAAAATGGCCTTTACCTCGTCTCTTTCCTTTTCCTTTTCCACGAGGTCTGAAAAATCTGCGGCCTGATCTTCCTTTTCCTTTTCCTTTTCTTCTACCTTTTCCTTTGCCTTTTCTGGCTCTTCTTCCTTGGAATCTCCTTTGGAACCATGAGAAGTTTTGATCATCATATACCCAAAAAACATCGTCCAGGGCATCTAAAAATCCTTCAGTTCCATCTTCTTCATCTTCGGCCCAATAGCCAAATGTACCATCGAGTTCTCCTTCGTCTAGTACGAGAAATGATCTTCTACCTCCAGCACCTGTCGGCTGCATCAAAGGATTGTCTACTGAAGTCTTTGTCGTGCAGAACATCTCGATGAACACTGTCCTCAACTCTGTTGTAGTGTATTGCTGCAGGACCCTGCCACGATGAGTCATCAAAGAAGTCAAAGTGTTTCGCTGGTCCTGAGACAAATCTGCAAGTGACAGCATGAGTAAGGCAATGAGATTTTCTCCTAGAGGAAATTCGTTCTGATGAAAAGTCCTCATATTGCCATTGATGGTCTGCATGATTTCCTGAATCCTTTCTGCCGTTGGTGCTACTCCAGTCAACGCTGCATCTGCCTGCATCTGAGCTAGGACCTGTGGATGTGCTTGAGTGACTGGTTCTAACATGTCCATCCAACTGCTCATAAGCCTTTGGAGTAAAATCTGGAATCTTGTCATCCATTTCATCATGTCAGCTGATCCTCGATTGAAGCGCACGAATTGCATGAACCTATACAGGAATACATTGGTTGATCCTTTCACGAAATATGGTCGTAGTACTCGTTTGAAATATTCTACGCCGGCTCCTGGTGGATCATTTGCCTTCAATGCATCTCTGTCTAAAACACGCTTGTATACAGCTGCTTCTCCTTCTAATCTGTTTCTCAATGCTGGTCCTCTCTTCTCATCCTCCAGCTCGGTGATATCACACCAATCGTCTATGGCATCCTCATAGGAAAACCATGAAGTCTTTCCATCATAAGATGGGGGCACCTTTGTAGTGACCTGTGTTGTCATTGCTATTGCTGCTGGTTCTCTTCTCACATGCCTATTCACGTAGGCTGCTGGCTCATAAGCCACATCCGCATCAGGCTCTTCCCAGTCGTCAATCCAATCCATGGCCGTTTGCCCACAAGCAATTCTATGCCTAGGAAAGGAGCTCACCTGGGTCTTCCAGGATCACTGCTCCGCTACCACTGAAAGAGTGACTAGGGCGTACACGGTAGAGGTGCAGACCGCTAGTGTCTTTTATGCGCAGAGTCTTATCCTCTTGCTCTTTGAGCCTTGAAGCAGTCAAGCATGGACACACTATATCAGCTGTTGGAGTGGAACCCTGTACAGGTAGGCTCTACTTTTCAAGGGGGGGGGCCCCCTACATATGAAGTTTTCACGTGATTCGGCGATCCCGAGGATTCCAGCCCCTCACTTGCTAAAGCAAGGACAACTCCAGCTAGCTGGTGCTAGCTTTCGTGATAAGGAGACTTTCTCAAAAAGACTCCCCTGGAAGAAGGACAGTTGGGCCAAACCCAAACCCAAAAACCAAACGCGTTACCCGTTCTAGTCAGTTTGGGAGTCGATGACACCTCGTACGCCCTGGCTCCCCGTCCCTCTCTGCTCTCCATCTCGGTCTCCCTCACTCGGCCAAGAAGAGCAATGGCACCGCCCAAAGCTGGACCGTCGACGCGTGGGCGTGGTGACCGACGAGACGCGGGCGTGACCGACGTGCTGGACCTGACCACCGGACCGGGGGGGGTGGGGTGCGTGGTGGCGGACGAGAAGCCGTGGATGGGCGTGGATGGAAGATCACTGGAAGGGAATGGGCTTGAAGTAGCCCTATAGGAACATTGGGACATGATCACTGACCCCATCACATGCATGCTTCGGACTGTTTCGATCCAACATTGGAGAACACAGCGTAGCAAAGTTGCTTCAACCGGATGACGTGAACCCATAAAAGTACAGGTATATACATAGGAGTCCTGCTGTCCAGGAGTCCAGGAACCTGAACCAAAAAGTAAAAAACACCTAGACTCTGACAAACACATCACATGGTTACCGTGGATGGCATGGTCCCAAGTTCGGAAGATGACTTGACACTTGACACACATTGTTTTGTTTTTCTCGACGTCCATGTGGCGTGAGCCGAAGTGTACTTCCCAGGTTTGGGGATTCAAGTTCAGGCAGATCCGCCAGGATGGACCACCAGATCCGCCAGGTCCATCCACCAGGTCCGGCGTATGATGGTTTGAGCGACCAACTGATATACATGTGGGTATGGGTCTATCCCACTACCAGTACCAGTGGATAATGATGATTAGGTTGCAGGATGTTGCAGGCCTTTCTCTAACATAGTGATCATTGTTTTCCAACTGTTACAGGCAATGGGACGAACCCAACATATAAATATTAAGTAGAAAACCCATTCAATGAAAACCACACATGACCTTATGTCAAAAGCAAATACGACTCAGTCTGCACAATCCTTGATGATTCAATGATTCAGCATGATGGTCGAAAACAAGGGGCTTCCAGTGCTTCCTTCTCCCTTTCTCCTCAACCGCTTAGAATCTCCCAACAACCCTTAGGTCCCTCAAAACCGGGATTGGGTTCGGGTCCCGTTCGATCCCTCCAGAGCACCACTAGCATGACCCGGACAAATCGGGTCCCGCGTCTGCTTCGCCTGCTTGAGCTTGCGGCCCGCTGAAGAGGCTGTCTGGCCGCTCGACGGCTTGGCCACGGGCGACGTACGAAACGGACGGAGGGCGTCAGACCGGGCTTGGTACCCTTGGAATTCCAGGGCAACAAGCTAAGTATCTGTTGATTGTTCAGGTCATGTTCCCACGAACGAAGTCGGGTGCCAACGAAGTCGGGTACGTCCAGGTAGAGTGGTCAATGTGGTAAAGCAAAAATGACAAACTGCGATTGTCCTGCAATGTTTGACCTAAACTCCAGGTACTAATTGGAAACTGAATGGTCCTGCAACAAATGCAGGATGGACTTCACTTTGGATTTGCCTCAGAAATGTCCTTCCATATCAACCAAAAGTAATAGTTACTATATTATTTGGCACCAGGAGTTTCATCGTTTCAAAGAACATACTTCTTTCCCGGATGGGTTTCTCAAGAACCCGGCCAGCCGAACTTCCCCAGCAAAGGTCCCCATACCTCCAGTACTGTTTCGGCTCAACAGCAGTTGTTGGGGTATGTGAAAAAGCACTATATTATGATCACTACTGTTACTATGATCATATGTCACGTTTTTGAACAACAAATTTTACATAAGTTGCCGAACCAAGAGTTTCGCTAGTTCGTCATCTTCCCCTCTATCCACTTGCTTCCGTTCGTGGTGAGAAACGAAAAAGAAGAAAGGAACGACCAAGACTCCGAGCACCGAGCGTGTGGTGCCGCCTTGACGATGGCGGCGATGCGCGAAGGCTGCACTTCTTCTCGCGCACCGAATTCCTGTTAGACCGCCGTGGGGTCAAAACCAAACCACTTTGGCTGACCTACCTGGTGTCGGTCGTGAAGACTACATGGTGCTGGACCCAGCGGGTTGAACGACCCCATCCCTATGTGTTAGGTAGAAAGGATCGACTCAGAATCGAGACTAGCGCCATCTAGACTCTCCAGTTCGTACCTTAGAACATCTGGGAAGGATTCTATCAAACATAGGGCACTGATGTACCCATTGTCCAAGGTACGACTGGAGACTCCAGGCACGACAGTCAGGGATGTCACGACCCCAACTCTGTGGTGCTGGTACTCATAGTCATGTTGACCAAGGTCTGCCCTTTAGGGATCCACTGCCACCTTCAAAACAAAGGTATGACTGTCTGGACCCAACCCTGGACCGCCACATAAAGGTGTCTCCGACATATCACCCTCGATAGAAATCCATGGGGTGCGTGATCGCCGCTGAAGCGAAGGCATCACGTCTTCGAGCGTCTTCTTTGAAGCGAGCAGCCACACATGTCATCCTCCAAAAGGAGATATGGAGACTGCCAAGCTGTCGGAGGAAACAACGTTGAAGACCATTGATTGCGGTTGGGAGCCCCAAACTGTTGCCATCAAACTGGGCTAGGTCCATGGGGCCTCTGAGTTCAGTGAGACCACCCGAACACCAAACTCTTGCCAATCATTGCCAAGCCAAGCTACATGCACAAGAATCAGCCAAAGTGCCAGTTTCACCTGAAACATTGAGAATTGATCGAACCATCAAACCCCATTTGAACATCTTTAGAATGACGGGTCTGATGAAACCTGGGGCCCCACAACAATTTTTTGTTCAATTCCGAAGGGTCCCCCAAAAAACAAACAAATTTGTGAACCATCGTGTTTTTGAAAGGCACTTAGACCGGTAGTGGGACCATTAGGTTTGAACAAATCCGATGAATTGTTTAAAATTATGTAAAAACAAATTTAGACACCCTCGCCATAAATAAAGACAATCCCCCCGAATCCCCCAAACCGCATAATCATGTTTATTCAGGTGAGACCATGTGATGGCCCGAAAAAGGTAGGACGTTGATAAGTTGTTGCCAGTCTGACTACTATTGGGGACGATATTGAAAATGAAAAAACATGTTTTGGGCGCACGTTATTATTTTGTTTGCACGCTGGTTATTTATGTCTCTAAATTTGGATGAATTTGGATACTTTCCGTTGTTCGTGGGAGACATCCTCCTAGATTACACCCATGAAGGTGAATGGACCCTGACCATTAGTTTGAGCTGTGCATGTTTGCCGAAAAAAATGTGCAAAACTTAGGGACTCAATTGTTACAAAGGACTACGCTCAGAATGTACGACTTCCTCCAAACCTGTGGAAATCGGCATTTGTATCACTGGAACCCGCATCCACTCTCGTTGTGCATCGAGTGCTATGATGTTTTTCCTCATCCAGATCCCAAGTTGCCAAGAATTGCCGACAATGTTTCATGGTCCATAATATCCAAGGCAAACAAATAACTAGTCGTCAAACACATGTTGACCGGCATGCAAAATTCATGAAAGCGTGCCAGTGCTCAATCCGCGAACCATTAATGCATGTCCTCGAACCATTCATCCACAAATCGGCCTTAACCAATCAATCAATCAATCTCAACCCTGTTGCTATTTCGACCATCTTCCAGCCATCCATCCATACTACAAACCTCTTTCCCCACATGCCCGAGGTCGCCCAGCACGACAGTCACGGAGGGCCCAGTGGCCACGCGCTCTTTGCGTTGGCGGAGCGCAGCGGAGGAACCACTTGCCTCGTAGATCCGCTCCTCCTTGGCGAAAATCGGACGGCAAAACCACGCGTGATGAAAATATATTGATTAGTGCAATGTTTCATTGTTCTATTGTTTACAAGCATCCTCCCACAGGTCTCCTTTTAGAAAGCTGTTGGGCCCCAACAAGTCTCAGCTGGTGACCTGATGGCCTGATGGAGGATGCTGGTATTTACAATCTACAAATGATAACAATTACAGTACAGTATATATTTTTGATGTTTTAGTGGTACACTCGTAGCTTCAATCGTGGGTTCACATCGAAGTCACCCCCTTTCTTGCACTTCCGCTGAAGATTGTGAAACAAGATACTCTTGAGTTGCAGCCATTCTCTATCTATCTGCTGCGCGCCTGCAACTCCACTGAGCTTCTTTGGCGACTCTTGCACTTCTGTAGTCAAGAGCAAGCAAGACTCCGCAGCCTGTGGCCAGCACAAGGCTGACGTCGTTCTGAGATTCACTTGCTCGCCGCCATCAGGCCGTTGCAAGCCACGATCAATCGCTGAGATAACACAAGCAATGCGCCTATCAATGCTTCTGACACTTGTCCAGTTCTTGATGCAACAGAAGAAAGTGCTAAAGTCCTCTTCAAGTGCTGTCATCTCCAGCAACCACCTGTCTTTCTCTGTCACAAACTCAAACTTTCAAGTCTTTTGAGCCTGTCCTACCCACTGCAAGGTTGAAGCCTTCTTGCCTTTTCCTGTCCTCTGCTGGCCTTTTCCCTGGCGTTGCAAGCTCAAGCTTTCTAGCCTAGTCCTGGCCGGTATTTTCTGGCCTGGTCCTGGCCTCTTACAAGCTAAATCGTTCAAGTTATCTTGCAGCTTCCTGGCTTGCAGCAATTTGCAGGTTTCTTGCTCTTCACTGGCTTCTGCACGCTTGGGCCTTTAAGGCGAACCCGCTCAAACCTGAAGAGATGTGTGGACTTGAACATTATACATTATGCAATTTTAACTTTCAACACAATGCGATGGTTGACAGCCTTCAGACCTACAACGAGGATCTCACCAATGCCATGAGTGCTGAACCCTCAACGGCCTCCTCTACTTTGCCAGACTGCTGATATAGTACCCGTACCTCCGTCTTGTGCCTCCGCATCGATGTCTACCTCATCAGCATCCAGCATCCGCACCACAGACTTTGGAACCACCTGCGGGTCCTCGCAGTACTCCCCCCAATGATCCGGGCCTGTAGCTAGCTCAGCTGTTTCTGTTCTTCCTACGATATTTCCTGCAGTGCTTTCCTACGAAATTTCCTGCCGCAGTGAAGACGTTGACGCAATCCCACAGTCAAAATATCTAACAGTCCGGAATGGAACCGTCATGATTCGACACTAGGCGTCTCAGACGCGGAAGGCTTGGGTTCCAGTCGGAACTTGGGTTTATCTGTGCTTGAGGTCGCGATCATAGCACAGTTTCCCATAGCCAGAGGGTCTGCAAGGAAAGAGTTTCCCCCTGTGGCTTTGCAGCCAGCGCCCGCCGGCTCACAATGCCAACAAAACCACTTGGTACCAGGCCTGCACCTCGGAGGTACGCAGCTCCCATTTGTAGACATCGCACTGGTACCGCAGCAAGGCTTTCAGGAGAATGTCAAGCGTCACTTGTGCTCAAGGCATGGGACGGAAAGGTTTGCAATTCTTTGAGATTGTTGCTGACAGCTTGTCACATGGTGGATGCTACGGAGTGTGTCCAATTGACCGTCACTCGGAAATATACAAATGCTACAGCTCAGCACACTGGCACCCGGGCGTTTGCGAATTCACCTGGCATGTACTCTTGTGTAGTGTATACTACCTTGGGTCCCGCAGGGAGCCCCTTCATTGAAACAAGTACACTTGAATGTCAACCATGTTAGCGCTTCTTTAGTTCATTGTGTTCCTTACAGCTAAAAAACACAAGTTCCGTCCTGCTCGAGCAAAACATGAGGCGAATAAATGCGGTGCCTCAAGCGTACCACTATCAGAAGACAGGGGAACAGAACAAAGTTTGTCTTTTTCAGGATAGAGACCCCAACATGCAACAACAGACTGACATGAATTGAGTTACGGAAAACAAACAAACAAACTCTCGGAAAAAACAAGCTGCTACGGGTCCATGCCTCACGCGGTTCATGTGACCCGTGGTAATCAGCAAGGCGCTGAGATGGACGTTACGAGTAGTAGCTTGCCAGGCAGCAGGTTGCTTCCTTGCATTGCATTTGTCCTCTTGCTTGGAAATACATTGTTGTTCAGAATGAGCAGAAAACTGGTTCCAGTGTGATATTTAGCAAGGCGCTAGCGTTGGACAGCCTCCAGAATGCAGAAAGTTTACAAATAGCCCTTTTCTAAAATCAAGAATTGAATGACTTCTTTTTGGAGCGGTCACTTGCGGCCACTCGAGTGGCTGCAAGTGCCCGCAATTTCAAAAATCAACATCTGTACTAGGTTTCCTGACTGTCTTCTCCTCAAAATCAACCCTCAAAACAGGTAGGCGAACTCGAATTCTCTGCGCCACAGCCGATTTCTCGCGTGGACGAGGGGCACTGACTATCCTACTCTGGCTGCCCCATCAGTGGCAGCTTCTTCGCTCCTCCCATAAAAGCCAGATCATACCAGGACCCCAACAGACTGTTCTTGGCACCTGCTGGAGGAGCCAGGTATATTTGTTCTTTCTCTTGGATGTGCTCAAGGAACTGGGGAAAAGGGATTAGCATTTATGTATAAATTATTGTAAATTACATTTCGCCCACAGGGTCACAGCGAACATGCAACAAATACCTCGATGTGCTCCACCATGAAAACACCTTGGAAAACAAAAACAACAACCCGGTTTTTGGTTCCGCCCACCCGGGGCAAACCGAGACACCGTCAGGTCGTGCCAGGTGTGGATCTCCTTGGAGACAAACTTCTGGAGCCATTGCCGCAACGGCTCCTCGGCTGACCAGGCCGCTACAGCTCGGGCTGACGATTCGAGCCATGTCAGACGCCGTGGCTGGGCGGTGAAGTGTTCCCACTGACGATGTGAGTTCCCATCAGTTCCCATCAGTTCCCCAGAGAATCCGGAGCACATAGATAGATCTTGCAAGCCATTGAAATGGCATGTTTCTTGGATTACGGGTCTCTTTTCACGGAAAAAAAAAGGTGCCTGCGGTCTGCCTGAGGTCTTAAAAGTAAAAAGGACTCTGTTTGAAAGAAGTATATATATGCCCTAGGGCTCCAACCATATCCTCAGAAGGTGGTTGGACCCGCCAAACCCACCCCAACCACCTTCTCAGGAGGTGGTTGCAGCCCTAGGGATTATGGCTTCACACGTCGTGCCTGTACTTCAAACATGGCATCTCCATGGCGTGATCTGTTCGGGGACGGAACCCTCCTCAGTCCAGTCGGCTGGTGTCGGCTCCAGGGAACCCAGTTTCGCCCCTGTGAGAACAGTGGCCCCGCACCAGAGATCAGCATAGTGGTCCCCAAATAGAGAGGATGGCACGTGGCACGGTTTCCAATACATTACTGACTGGTGCGACTCGCAGGGAAGGAGGGAATGGATCCAATAGAATCTCTATTGGGGGCTCGTTCCCTTATTCCCTACTAAGCACCAATCGGATTAGTGGGGATCTACCAACTTCTATGCCAGGGGATCTACCATCCATGTTCACTCTGCACCAACCACCCGCCTCACCTCGCAAAAACCGTCGACTCGACTCGGCAAGCGAAGACCAAAACGAAGCACCCAGGCACTAATGACTTGGCTTCCAAGGGTTCTTTGGGGCATAGCCAAGGCTTGGAAAAGCCCGTGACGATGTCCCAAAGCCAGTGCAAGGCTTGTTGAGACATCACCTGAGTCTTTTTCAGCAGGTCCCTGGCTTGGTGGAGTCTCCCCGAATTGGTGGATTCTCACGGTAGCAAAAAGAACGAATGTGTATTGGCCGGACCAGGACTTGAAAGTGAAGGCCCTTATAATGAGATCTCAGAATCAGCACTAGAGACCCCAAAGAGGTCACTTAGAGACTCCAAAGAGGGTCACGCACTGAATGTCCTGGGAATGAGATGTTCTTGGACCACATGCAGCGTCCCTTTTTTGATGGCACGTGGAGTGAAACATCAACCAAAAGAAACCTCCGCTGAACAAATAAAACACTCCTTCAAGTCCATAACGCCCGTGTAATATAGATTAGAATCAGAACAAATCTGCAAACTAGAGAAACATCGGCATATTCAAACCGGCATAATCGAAAATAAGCATTATAGATAATAAGTAAGGCAACTCCAAGAGACGGTTTTCACACCGCAGACCCAAAAAACACTGCTGAAGTTCCAGGTATATTACAGCTCAATAAGGCTGCCCATCTGTCACGCTGATTCTAAATTGAGCTCCGCAGAGTAGATGGGAACCAGGATGAACCTTGCCCAACTGCTTGCCAAGTCACCAAAGAGCTCTGTGATGACAAGAGGGAATACATCACCAGGACCATATTCCTGACTGCAGATGCGCTCCCAACCTGCTAGGGATCCACATAGACTTCTCAGAAGGCACTTGGACCCGCCAAGTCTCACTTGGACCCTCCAAGTCTCTAACCTGCTCAAAGGTGCTCAAATTGGATCTAATAAGTGGCCTCCCAGATAGTTCTGTTAAAGCTCTTCTATGTGCGACAAGGATGGGTCACCAAAAATCCTTAAGGAATGATCCCAGACTATCCATGGGACCGGAATACAGTTTCATGTACCCCAAGAATCACTGACCCATGGTGGCGTAACGTAACTATTCCAGTCCCATGGATGGTCTGTGGATGATCGACCGTTCCCAGATGGGGTCCCGACTCCAATTCAATCCCTAGAGGCTTTGAAGGGATGCCTGCTTGGAGCGTTTGGGTTCACCAATTTACAACTCCAAGCTGAAGTGAAGAAGCAATGTGTGGTCAAACACTCGGTCAGACCTTTTTGGCATCCGAACGCCTTCATTCTGGTGAAAAGCAAGATCCTTCAAACCCACCTTCCATTTCAACCCTTTTTTCGGAAGTAAACCCAGCACCGCACCGAAGGAGCGCAAAAGTGTGCCGTGGGGTCTCCGCGCCGTTTGGCTGGCCCAGCGGCCAGGGTCTTACAAGGCCAGTGCTGGACAAGACGACGTGCAAATCATGCAGCGCCAGCCAGTCACAATTCAACGCATTCCTGGAGGCCAGTCCGGGAATCGTTGGTGGGGTACTGAAGACTTCGCAAAGAGAGAGGTGGTCATTCTTCGTCCGAAGCAACGTCGGTGCCGAAAGAAGTCATCGGAGTGTGGCTCCGAGACAGGCTCATAATACCCTAGGGCTTCAACCACCTCCTGAGATGGTGGTTGGGGTGGGTTTGGGGGGTCCAACCACCTTCTGAGGATATGGTTGGAGCCCTAGGTATAATATGTGCAATGATCTTCATATATCTTCATAAGGGCTCCAATCAGATTTTGTGAGGATGTGGTTGGAGCCCTATAGGGGATATGAGCTTCGATCAATCTTCCTCTGCCGGCTATGTCAGGATCGGACCGGATAGGATCCAGCACATGCGGCTGGCCTGAGAGGAACAAGCTGCAGGTCTCATGAGGTCACAAAGGAGCATTTGCCCGAATGGACGGGCTGCCCAAATGGTAGCAAACTCATCAACGACCTGATTTGGACCATCTTAGACCCTCATAACCTCATTCCCCTGGTTCTCCTTCCTTGCTTCCCAAAAGACTTAGGGACCAAGAAAGGTCTGAGCTCTTCATAGCTCTTCCGATGTCGTCGGACCGGCGTTGTTTTTGTTTGGAAGCTGGAGCGACGTCGGAGTGGATCCATCATGTGATTCGTGAATCGTCGGAGCGGAGTGAGTGACTTCAGCCCGCTTGAGGAGCCGGTGGAGACGCAAAAACACACAGACTGGTCGTCCGATTTTTTAAGGTCCTGCTGCAAGTAACCACCCTAAGGGCTCCTGGCCTACCTCCCGAGAAGATGGCTATGGCGGGTGCGGGAGGGTGTAACCACCTAACCTGAGGATATGGTTGGAGCCCTAGGGCCATTGGTTGGAGCCCTAGGTCAAGACCCGGACCGCGAACTGAGGTATGCCAGGACTGGTGCGAACTGGCTGGGTATGCCAGGACTGTCTGGCACCCTACATCCTTCTTCCGATGTAGGACGAATCTGGAGCCCCAAATCCAACGAATTGAGTCCACCGGTTCACCTCCACTGGAACGAAGGAGGGTGTGTATTTTAGACAGAAAACTCCCTGGGCCCAAAAAGGTTTGGGAAGTCTTCCTAAACAAAAAAAAAACAGCTGATCCTTGCAGTTGAGTTTCTTCAACAATCGAATCACTGTGAGCAATAGCACCTCATTGGGGAGGCACAAGAGAATGGCTGCAGGGCACTGTAGCCTGAGTGGTCCCGTTTGGCTTCCTGGCCACCATTGATCCAAGAGCCTGAATCCCGAGCAACTATGCTTTACGTTCGGACTTTACACTACAAAAGCAGGTCTTAAGCTGTTCAGTTGTTTGTCCGGAAGGCGACCGGGCTTCAGCAAGAAGCGTTGAGGCATCATGTGTTTCCGCTGGTACATGGATCCGAATGCGTCGTACAAAGGCTACTTCCGAGTGTTGAAGACGAAACACCGGAACGGATCCTCCCGGTATCCGGGCTCCTGGCCTACTCTACCTCTTTTCATTTCGGTGCGAAGACGGTGGTTGCATTGAAGCAAAGAAAACTGCCTGACAACCTATACCATTATACCAGCACCCGAACAGGGCCAGGCGTACTTCGTTGAGGGTTGTTGGACCCTGTCTCAGGTCGAACCATTGGTGACCTGTAGAGTCGGGTCCTGGTATGAGTACATAGATATGACTACCTGGCTAGTCGCCAAGATACACAGGTATCCTGGTCGCATTTCAACGATAATTGGAAATTGCCGGCCGCTTTCAGCAGGAAGTCCACCTCAACGGCACGGTGGCGGCCGGATATCTCTCACCCGCCGGATATCTGGCGCGCCGCTTGAATCGGGACGTCCGATAGGATCTGAGCTTATGAGTTTTTGAAGAAATCTATTCATGATCAAGTGCCACATGAAGTGTTGCACTTGATTCAGCTATATATATATATATATACAGTATGTATTAAATATTATTGATTATAATTGAAGATTAACTGAATATATAGTATACTTCTGTGTTGACACAGGGGCCGAGGACTTCCTGATGTTCGGGGATGTCTTTGCTGTGAACTCATGAGAAAATGTGGAGTTTCATGCATTCTTCTGGATTCCTTCAAAAAGCACATCATGACACATTCATCAGACCACTTCAGGATTTCCTTGTGAATCCAGCCTTCCAGAAAAACATCCACCGGTTTGGGAAAGTTTGGACGTGTATATGTTACAAGTCAAGTTGGCTGGGTCGAGTGTAGCTTGGTGGCATGAGCAATGCAGAAAGGCGTGAATCAAGTACATATAAGCCTAAGCATGGAAGAACCACGAGAATCCTGGGATGCCCTCTTGGAGACACCAAACATCCTCGTAGTTCCAGTTTCCATGTTATGGATCCTTCTCATGTGTTTTTGTTCCATTTTGGGGTAACATACAGCCTGCTCCCAATGCAACTGGGATGACGAGGTTGACGGCGCTCTGCGACGCTAGCGACTCCGGCCTTTCGTCTCCAGAAGCAGGAGTCGTTCTCCCGAAGCTCGCGACAGGTGCCGATCAAATTCCTGAGGCAAACGGTCCCCAAACACGCCAACGGGGCATGCATGGGATTTCACCATTCAAATATTGCACTTTTTAACAAATCGGCTTCACCGTGCTTTACCGAACAAGCAATAGTTTTACACAGTTCTAAGGATTTTGCACTCCGAAACCAGGCCAACCATTAAACAAAAATTGGTCTTGGGCTCCCAGCGTTTCATATGCCAGTCCGATACAATTGAGTCATTTGGTCGAAAGACTTTGGCATACTCGATGCGATGAAACCCTGTTGTTCGTCTCATCCACGCGAAGTCACCATGTCAGGGGTTGACATCCCGAAGCAATCCCGGTCTTGAGGGACAGGGAACGGGTCGTCGCGGCTGCAAGAAAGAATTTGAAGGGAATGGTTTTCTTGTAGACAAGTGGCGGTGCGCAATCATGCGCAATGGTGCGCAATGGTGCTGTGAACATTCAGAGGTGCTTTGCACAACAATGAGGTGTAGGAATGTGAGTGCAAACAAGCACCATCACAAACCAGAACTTAAAATCGGTTGCCGGCGCATCGCAAGACATTGTCAAGACCATTCCCAGGCATGGGAAGCCAAAACAAGGAGTCCCCCACGGGATTTTGGCCAGATTCGTCACCGGCTGCAAGCAAACGAAATCTCCATACTCACCTGAGCATCGATTCGTCGAATCCAGATGCAGCGGTTTGGCGATGGCCAACCTTGCGGCCTAAAGTTAAAAAGCTGGAAGCTGAGGTTCTCACCAATCCGGCCAAAACACCGATCCGGCACAAACCAACTGCCTTTCTCACTCAAAGCACCAACCCGGTGCGAACAACTCACCCGGAGTGGAAGATGATGAAAAGCAGCCAGCAATGGCCAGTACTGTCCAGCCGTGCAAATGGTTCTATCTGGTATGTATACCCCTCAGCCTGTAACACAGACCACAATTGGAAGCACAAGAATGAGCACCAAGGGCGTGGGAAAGAGATGCAAGGTTTTACAATTGTTTGAGAACAACAGTTATTTGATGTATCATGGTCTGCCTAGGATTCCCAGATTCAAATCTTGTAATGTCATGTCATTGTCATTCAATCACTCTCTGTACAACTATCTCTCGCGAGGTGTGCCAGCTGGAGCCATTTGAGAGCTTTTCAGTGCAAAGTTGAAGTAGACCAACACCAAAATATCAGTGAACTTCAAACCTGTGTCATCAAGTATGGGCGTGGCATACACATTCGCAAAAACCATGTTTGGGCATACAAAGTGGGTGATTAACACCATTCAACACCCAACGAAGCCCTTAGACCAAGACTTTGACCCTTAAGAATCAACGCGTGACAACTGTCACGGTGCTAAGCTGCCAGGTCACCGGCTAAGAGCCAGAAGATGCGAGCATGGATTTCAGGTGTGAGACATAGCCTCAACTCCGCTGCAAGGCAGAAGTTCGCACGCTCGAACTGCGTTCAATTGAAAAACGCCCAAACTTACGCATGCCATTGTTTGGGGATCTTGGGAGTACAGAACACCTGGTCATGGAGGTGCAAATGCACGAGATGGGGTCCTTCAACTGGGGTTACTCAATTGCAGACTCTTGGTTCATCAGCCGTCGGTACATGCAAAATACGTCTGAGACTGAGCACGTCCACTCCACAGCGCCACCACTTCCAGCGTTTTCACCTGGTTTGATGGCCCAAGTCACAGGAGCGACTCATTTCCCAGTTTCGGTCGGCCTGGCGGGACGTCCGTCGGTACTGCCGGTGGGGCTCGCGCCAGCGAGGAGCAAGCCAGGTCCGACGGAACAAGTCTTAAGTGCTCCACACCTGTTTGGCCGCGCCTTCTTTGGGCCTTGCCTGGGAACAATTCAACGCTCCCATGGCGCCAAATGGTCGCACAAAGGGCCCGGGGGCCGCTGCACCGGGCCGCAGGGGCAATGAGGCCGTGTCACGCACGGTCAGGCGCGTGGGGCTTGGGGTGCGCGGCCCTTTGTGTAAGGCACTGGAAAGCAAGTTCTGCTTGGGGCCAAGTGGAGGCATGAATGACGAATGACATTGAATGACCCTGTGAACCTTGCCTTCAAGCCTAAGACCTTGTTGAAGAACCAGGAGCCCAGACTTGACCCAGAGTTTCCTGTTTTTCTTGGTTCGGGCGCGATCTGCAGGTCCGGAGGCTTGGTTTGTAAAGTGATCTTCTGGCTCATTGTCCGATTTTCTGCAGAGTCGGATGTTCTCATGCAGAGTCGGATGTTCTCGCCGGGGCGTTCATTCACTTGGCTAGAATGGTCATATATCTAATCATGGTGTTCAGGAAGCAATCGAAAGAATCACCAAATAGGGTTCACGGTTCCGATTGAATCCCGAGAAACAAACATCTTGAGAATTCTTGAGAAATGTGCTGGTCTGCCAAATGGCTGCGAAACATCGGCATTCCAGTCGGTGTTTCAGACTGAGAACCACCCACAAATACCACCGTGATGTTTCGTACATAACTCTGAAAGCCTTGCGGCAGACCCTCAAGCCTGCGGCACATGGTACCAAGAAATTCAGAAAGGAAGCGGGTCCGGCGTTGCCCATGAGATTAGTAACGTCCGTTCGTAGCGTTCTTGTTCCTAGTAGTAGGGCCAGGAGCCTCTAGTAGCTTCTTGCTCCTAGTAGCGTGTGTTCTGTGTTCTACTATAAATTCATGATTGGAGCCTATAGCTGGAGGCCCTTCACACCAAAGCTGGTAGCCAATTTTCATACTCCTCGATTTCCAGCGTCACTTGGTCAAGGCCGTAGAGACGGCAAACAACACCGACCCGTGTGGTGGCCCAGATCTGAGTCCGCTAAGAATTTGGGCCCGGATGGCGTAGAGAAAAGCGTGTGTTAGTTTTGTGGAACCCCATCATGCGTGTGTGGGTCAAGAATTTGTGTCAAAGGTTGACATTCCAATTCGGAATCAGCTGTGCATTTTCAGGCTTCAACGAGGCGTTTTCACACACCGCCTACTTTCAAGACCTCCATGTCGCCCATGGCCCTTCACCCGCCCATGTCGCACCATGTCGCGTACCCATGTCGCTCATCTTTCGCACGCACCGCCGGTTCGACGAAAAGACCCTCGCGAGGACCGGTTGCGAGCCGCGGGCGTGGGACGCGGGTCGTCCTGAAGCGGAGCTCCTGGCTTAGTCAGGAAGCCCGGCTCAGAGAACCCAAGAAGTCCAGTCCGACCAAAAGCAAATTCCCCCCACTATATATCAGGAAGTTCCTGAACTAGGGGGTATCAAAACCAGGTGAAAAATTGGACTTCCATGGATAAATCTTCATATGTCTTCATTCTCCGTTTGGAGAACCGGCTCGGTTCATCTTGACAGTTGTTTCAATGCACAGCCGTCCAGCACGGAATCAGCACTAAGATCAGGGCCTTTGCGGCACGTACCTCCTGAGTAGGTGTCTGAGTGGGGAGTACGTGCCGCTGTCCCACGATGTCCCACCTACTCAGATTCTCCGAGAGGTCCGGCATTTCACCCTGTTTTCTTCCAGTGTCTAGACGATCTGGGCTTTGAAGGATGTCTCATCCCCAAGTCAAAACGCCGTGTCTTCTACAACGCCGTCCAAAACGCCGTGAAAAACCACGGCAGCTCCTGTCGTATATGTTGCGGCCCATCTGGTCACACCCGAAGAACGGCGAACCAACCGTCTGGATCGTTGCAGCCGTCTGCATGTTCTCAAGTCTAGTCTATCAGGACCACCCAGGAGACGGGTGGTTATTGGATGGAAGATACATATACATAGTGGGGGGATCTATAAACCACCTGAATTGGCTGGTAGCTGAATGGCGTTTCATATGTCTCATCCGCTCGATCAACCGAGCCAGGTTTAAAGGACGGCTCAGGCCCGCACAAGACATCTCAGATGGACACTGCATGTCTGGAACTGCATGAGTCAGCTAGTACATGGCATCTAAAGCTGCATATACCCCTAGCTGTAGAGTAGAATATTGAACTTGAATGTCTTGCTTGATGAATTGCTGACCTAAGAGACCAGTACATCTGGATGCCTTTGGTGTAGGTCCTGTCTCCTGTACTTGTACAGCTGCTCCCATTTCGAGCACGGGTCACGTTGTACTGAAAGTTATTTTCAAGTTGTACGGCGAACAGATTGAAGACAACTCTTGCCATGAAGAAAGCTGTTCAAGAATTGTTCGGGATTGTCCAAACTGGGCGACATGCCTCATCGTGCCTCTACTACGTATGTCCAGCCCTGAGGCCCTGGCCACATGGCAAAGGTTGACACATGGACCATATCTCATATTCAGTCTATAGACTTGTGAACTTCGGCAGATTTGGGAGATCTCTATGGTCATTGAAGAAACAGTCAATCTTCCTCTAATGATGCTTTTCTGTTAGTTTCTACATATTTTTAGATGTTCATTTCTGGGGAGGGCAAGGAGCCCTTCAACTAATTACTAAACTGAACAATAACCGATTACAACCTTTCATGAGTTCAAGAAGAACAGTTTAGGTATGTTGTAGAAGTATACCCAAGTATTCCTCACATCCATTTCCGGCTTTGACACCTCCAAATAGCTCGACGTGGCACCGGCGACACCCGCCCGGGCATGTTTACGTTTTGGTGGTCCAGAGGAAAGTATGCCCAGGGCTTCCTGCGGAGTAATTGTAAGATATTCCAGTCAAATGGATGGCCTGGGTATGAAGAATGCCCATGACTAGCTGGAGTCGACGTTGTTCGTACCTCTTGACAATGGGTACAGTCGTGGCATGTTCTAAGGTGCTTGAAGTCGGGTCCAGGTATATTTGCTTCAATGCTCTGACCCTTCTTTGGGCGACCCAAGTTCCCGGAAGATCCTGAACACTTCAGGTTGTGCCAAGATGGCCTCTCTGTCACTGGACTTCGAAAGGATCTTCGGGGAACACGTTGACTTGGATTTTCTTCAGGAACCGCGAGAAAGCACAACATATCCCCCAAGGAGGTGATTATCCCGTATATACAGCGAAATACAGCATCACCCTCCTAGAACCAGGTTCTTGCGGTATTTCTTGATGTTTCCAGCTGCTCAGCTGCTTTGCTTCTGCTTCGCTTCTGTTTCGCCTGCTTCGCAGCCTCAAACGCGACCAGACGCGACGGCGCTCGCCTCGTCGCCTCGCTCCGGCGAGACCGCGAAAGCGGTTCGTGGCGGACCCCAGTCAGACGACCATTGCTCTCTCACGTGCATGGCCCACGGAGGACGGAAAGGACGACGCAAGAGCTGTCGTCTGCGCATGAACCGGACCCCTGAGCCGTTGCGTTGGTCAAAAAAGAAGGTGTGAACCCGACTCTCCAGCTCAATTTTAGTGGGCAGTTCCCAATCCCCCCCAAAAAGGGTTTGTAGGCTGTCCACTTTGGGAATTTGTAGGAGTACAATAGGTCCAACATGACTCTGAGCTATGCCTGGACCGTTGCAACTATACACAAATGATAGTTGCCTCTGTTAAGGACAAATTATCAATTTACGGTGTCTTTCTCAAACACCGGCATCTTTTTTTGTTGCTCCTGTGGAAACGGTCACATTCCGGTATAACGGTATCACTTTACGGTACACAGTCAAGTGATGTCGAAGGCATCCATCTGGCTGTATTAGAATAGGGAGATCCCCGAAAGACCCCCCTGGAAGCAGGAAAATAGACTCCAAAACGGGGTGTTCCCTATTAAAGTACAAACCCATTTGGTTCTGGATTGTCGCAAGAACTATGCTTGTTGAGGATCTTGATCGCTTTGGTCGTCGGAAGGTCGCTCTTATTGAACGCTCAGCGCACTCCGATGGTCAAGTACCAGATCAGGAAGACCTTGAGCAAGCCACGCCAAACGAATCATGCAGCAGGCTGCAAAAAATACCACGGATATCACGCATTAGATCCGCAGCAAGGGGAACACTGCAGTTTCTGGCTATCAATTGTTGTGCAGCTAGCTGCACAACCAGGGCCAAGAATCGCTTTCTTCCTGGCTAGTATGATGAGTAGGGTGGCTCTGAATGACATTACTCTTCGATAGAATTTATTCCTAAGCACGGCCGGATGGGATATCACGGGCAATCATCCCAGCTTACAGGAGCCTCTACTGATCTTGAGGTATTGTTTTATTGAGCCCCGAACATCCTCTGGGCCCTCCATGGCAGGGGTCGGAGCTGGGGTCCGAAACCTAACAAAACCCATCAAAACCGTTCCCATTGCTTCGGGCACTGAGGTACATATCTGATTCTTGGGGTACAGTAGTATAAAGGGATTCTCCCCTCCAAAAGGCATGTTTTGTATTGTTTTGTGAGTCGCCGCAGTCGGTTTTGCCGGCGCCATGTGAGCGAATCACCCTATTGCAGAATGCATTCCCCTAGGCCTCCAAGTACCTTCCGAGAAGGTGGGACTGGGGTGGGTGCCAGGAGTGTCCAAATATACCTTCTGAGGTACGACCGGGTACGACTGGAGACAGTAGGTTTCATATTCAACTCCTCCGGCCTCGAAGGACAGCTTCCCCAAACGGGCCTTGTCCGCCTGGCGCGTCTCTTTGGCACTTGAAACATCGAGGTTTGGGGCAAATTCGACACGTGAAACACCGACCTTCACGGTAGGTCTCCAAACATTTCCATGAGAAAAACATATAGGAAAACAATATGTGGTCAAAAGGTGTTCGGAGTAGGTAGCAACAACTATAGAAGTGATTCAATTCGTAGAAACGTAGAGTGGTCAATTTCTTTAATTGTAGCTCCGAGCGGCTTACTTCAAGGGAAACAAGCCCAGCTCCATGAAATGGTTCCCTCCACATCTAAAATCCGGTCTACAGGTTGTATCTAATATGATTCTGGGTTCACTGAAACTACATGTGCGAGACCACACTTCCACATCTTCCAGCAGATCGATCTATTCCAGCCAAGTAAGTTCCACACTTCCAGAGCGACCTTTTACCTGATGTTCCACAAGTACCCTAAGAATCCGGGCTCTCAAATAAGGGCTTCGACCTCCGGCACCACCCCAACGAGTTGTCGGGAGATCCGACCTCCGAGACCTGGGCTGGGCAACCTTGTGAATGACTGTAAGCACTCTTTGTCTTTCCATCCTACACTTGGGGCGAACCACTTTATTGCTGGGGGGGGGGGGGGGGGGGGGGTGATTAATCGTCAACATTAAGAGAACTTCTTGAACCCCGGGATTCCACATGATTCCGTGATTTCCCTTCCCCGGTTCGACCATGTTCGACCATGTTCGACCCGTCGCCTCGAGCCAAAATTGTCGAAACCGAGTGGCTGGGATATCCTCCCTGGGCGGAGGACCCACGTCTCGGAGGTGCGGATCCGGCATTCCGAGGTGGCAAAATCCACAAACTCGAAGGTTTGCAGGTTTGCAGTTGGCACATATCGAAGTCACGGGGCTAGCCACAAGTTCAAACTCCACTGACATCATAATAATATATATATATAATGTATAATCTTTATTTATTTATATGATATAGAATGGTTATGAATGGTTGCCTTGCTGTAGTCTATGCGATCATTGCTTGTGCCCTTCCAAAACGGATGATATGATCTAAAGCCGATGATCGATCATCGCGAGCGATGCATCGCCACATCGGATCCACCGCCTTTCTCCACGTCCATCGAACGTCCCAGTCGGGGGAGGAGCCCTCTGGTGAACGTCCCTAGGTTCGTAGCGTCCTCTTGTTCCCTGTAGTAAGGCCTAATAGCGTCCTAATAGCGTCCTTGCTCCGTTCGTAGCGATGCCAGGAGCCCTCTGGTAGAATCCCAGGTGCAGGTTGAACTGTTGTGTTTCTGCTTCAAACGTCGACTCTCGCGCACTCTGAGATCCCATCCGACTCCTAACTATCCTACTCCAATCCAAACTCTTGGTGATGTCAGTTTTTTGTCTAAACCTTGTTGGAGCCATCAAGACTACCGAAAGTAAGATTAGACCGCATTCGTGGATCACTCACGGGAGACTCCTTAGCCCTACAAGCAGTTTGTGCAGCCAACCAGACCAGTCTCAGGTCATCTCAGGTCTCAGAGTCTCAGTCCTCCAGCCAGCCTATGGCCCGAAAAATGCCCCGGCCGGCCCGTGGTCCGAGGTCTGAACATGTCGCAATTCCACAGAACTGCCACACAATTCCGAAACTCCGCTTCTTCGATGAAGCCATTCCTGCATTCCGAAACAGACAGCACGCTGTCGACAGACAGACCTGCGAAACATGAAAACTCACAAAAACACATTAAAACAAACACGTGCATGCATCTTTTTTCATGAGTGGTCCAATCCACTCACGATATCACCGATCACTAAGCGATACTAAGCCACTAAACCTTGGGCGGAAACCTCCGGTTCCGGAGAGCACACACCCTACTTGCCCAAGTTACTGAACAGGGCAGCCAATCTGAAATGGCTTGCCCCTGGGATTCCAACAGCCATTGTTTGAATGGTTTTTGCCGAACAACCATTGTTTATAAGGGTTCTAGACTACAAAACCAGGTCAACCATTTTACTACAATAATTGAATGCGCTAGAGTTGCTCCTCCACTTGAATGTTCATCTAGGGCCAAAGCGGCAAAACCGAGAACATATGGGACACATGCTGTGACTCGGGATGGCCAGTGCAGCCAAGAATGCTGTGACTCGGTATGACCCGGTCTGGGATCTAAAGGTTTGCAAATGAACCCCTGTCCCACCAGGTGTCCCAGTACATGTGATTTCATGAGCCCTGTAGCTCAGCAAGGATGTCATCAAAATATCGAAACTGCCCATAGGTAGTAGACAAATATAAACGCACATGTTCGGGGTTAGTCAGATAGTCCACCTGGCTGTGTTTTCAAAACCTCGTCAAACTGGTCGAAAAATGTCTTTTCCTCCAAGACGGTTCCGCTTCGAAGATTGAATATAATATAGTGGTTTCAGAGTAAATGGCGCAGAACCCAAGATGTCCTAGACAGCCTGTCCAAACCACTGTTACTTGGGGGTTGTGCCATCCTTCTACTCTCAGTCCGCTATGATCAGAAACACCTCCCCGGGTGGAAGAAAGTCAGCCTAACCCTACAAGTCAGTTTGACCTCATTGTACTGGAGTTGGCCATACAAAAAGCATGTTTAAGGACAAAAAACACGGGTTTTACTGGGTCAGACTGGACTTGCAGGGTCATTAATCTAGATTGAACATCCAGCACCACTCAGATCAGCTTTGTGTCCTTCAACCGAACCCCCTTTTGATCCCGTGGTGTTTACAATCCAACCATCCGTCTCCTTGTTGTATTAGCTCAAACAGGTCTAGACATCACAAAACAATACTGCATGCATATGCATATGCATATGCATATATATATATAGATGATTACATATGGATGAAGTATACTATATATTATATGTACTGTTTCCGCCCGGGTGGCAAATCGGTCCTATTGCTGTCGCTATTGAGGAAGGTCTTGTAGCATCTCTCCACCTGCCATTCAGCACGGCCGCCCACGGCGCGTTTTCGGTCCAATGATGTCAGGGAAGCCCCGGTTCGGAACACCCACTACGTATGGCTGTTGGACGCGAAAAGAACATAACAACACCTGGGATCTGGGGGGTTCTATAAACCACTTGGAACTTGGGTTGGTGTTTGCGTACCTGTGTTGAAGCTGGATGCCGTCGTGAACACATGCATGAATCCGCCGGAGAATCACTCTCAAGAACACCCATCACCATGTCTTGGGAAACACATCGGGGCAGTCAATTTGGTACATCGTCGGACATGAACACTTTTCTCGGCCTTATCTATCAAAAAAACAATACAAATAGTGCATGGACAGGTTTTGTAGTTCAGTTCAGTGTATATAGTTGAGTTTGTAGCTTGCGGTTTTGCTTTGGATTGGCAGCCAGATCCTTCAATGCTTTACGATGGTTTACTCGGTCCTGTTCAGGCTCATGAATCTCTTCTCAGAAACCTCCTGGTAACTTGGAAGCCAACTAAGCGGCAAAGCCAGGCAAATCCATAGCAGTGGCAAAGCCATCTGTCGAAGTTCATCGATGGTGACTGGCCAAAAACGTGGCAAGACCGTAGCGCCGCTGGTCTGCGCGTTCTTTTCTTGAAAGTCACGGACAAGCAAAGATGTGGCAACGCCACTCTGCTGCAAGATGTCTTTGCGAGACTTTGCTGGGACTTTGACAATCAAGTCTTCCCAACACGATAGCTTTTTGCTGTTGAGCACCTTGAGCAGTCTGCGGCCCACTGCCATCCAATGCTGACTGCTGCATCCTCGTTCCGGGTCTCCTCCGGCTCCGATGCTGCTCTGCCTCAATCTCTTCTTCAAACGAAGAATCCTCCCAGGCAGCCTGGCCTGGCAAAAACGACCCCTAAAGACTCCCAAACCACCTGTAGGCATCTCTCTTCAGATCCTCCCTGTAGAAGAATAGATCTGGAGAACAAAGAAAAATTCCCCTGCTTTGATGAGTGGAAATTTCCAAATAGCTCCAACTTCCTTTGGTTGCTGTGTTTCTTCTTCTCTGTTTTTCGTGGGCAGGGAGCGACCTCGCATCACCCTCTTTTTTGGACCTCTTTAACCCGCCGAACACTTCGACCATCATGGTGGACCACGCCTGATCCAATGGGAGGTTGAACTTCCGAGCCAGTTCTCTCATGTAACGCTCCTCTCCGGAAACCCGCGGGTGACCGGCCGGCGGGTGAGCTTTTGGTGAGAACATGTGGTGAGCACAGGTGGAATCGGCATGACCCAGAGTGGCCCAGCATCGCGATCATTGTGAACTTCAGGGATTCAAGCCAGGGGAGTTACGATCAAAATCATGTCACATATTGCTGGATGGGGACATGACATGGAAATGCAAGCCAAGAGTAAACTGGTGTGTTGCTTTTGCTGTGAAACAAGAACAACAAATTCATACCATTTCCCACTTGAAGAGAAAAAAAACCCTCTGGATCCCCTTCCAGAAGCAGTTAAACATACAACATACTATATAATAAACAACTTCATGTCGTTCATGCGTCCTTGCCTGGATGATCTGAAGCTAGAACCCTCATCTGCCAAGCTGATCTTCTTGCCCAGCTCCATCTTCTGTCTCTCCCATCTCTTCCCGAGATCTCCAAACAAACACTATTTGGGATCTTCGGTCTCCTTGGGATCAGCAACCACCAACTCTTCGGTGAACAGATGTTCCGTCGACCTCGGTCATTCGGTGTTTTTCGGTCCCAACCGGATGGAGGTCTTCGGCCATGGAGGTCAGGCCCAACACCTGCCATGTCCAGTTGAGTGGAGAAAATCAAAGGGCCACAGGATGCTACAGGTACCTATTGGGGATGTTCATGGTCGGTCCTCCTTCTCCTTGACAGGCTAAAGGAACCACGTGGGGCCGACGCACACCATAGATTTTATCCAATCCCAAACCACTGTGGTGTATTTAACATATTCGAATATTTGATTTGAACAACCTATTGGTTTTGTAGCTGTGGACCCAAACTGGATTTCATAGAAACTTCCGCACTCCATACATGTTGTTGGTTTGTTGTTGTTTAGGTTGGTTGGGGTGGGGCAGCGCTTGCTTGATCGGCGAGGCTGCCAAGTTCAAGTGGGCTAGGGAAACAACATCGTTACAGCATTCACTAACGTTCGCGGTAGCAAATTTGCACTCCTTACAACAGTCTAGGGCGTTAGCGAATGAGTTGTTACAACATTCACTAACGCATACTAACGCTAGCGATAGCGAATTTGCACTCCTTACAACAGTCCAGGGCGTTAGCGAATGAGTTGTGGAACCCTGTCACCATCTAAAAATGAAAGGAGGCTGCAGTCGTGAGTCTCAGAACCTCTAAAAGAATATTAGTGACAAGCCGCTTTCAAGATATTTAGTGCTGTAAGGGCTTGAGATTTCCTCAACCTCTTGAACCATTCACTAACGCTAGCGAATTGTGTAGTAAACTTAGGATTCCTCAGGATCACTCAAAAAGTTATGTTTTCCGCAAAAGTTTTCTTACAGCAAATCTTTTAGGCTGCTCCAGAGAGTTCAAAAGCTTGTTCCAAGTGTCACTAACGCTAGCGATCATTTTAAGAGCTTGAGATGTTCTCAAGTCACTACAACACTAAATATCTTAACTGCGCATGAGCGAACGGCCATATTTATTCTATCTAAAATGTTATCGCCTTTGGTTCTTCCCCGCAACATTTTCCAGTGTTTCCGATAAAATCCACAAGCATATGACAGTGTTGTATATCGCCCATGCAGGTTTCATGGCCCTAGGACCTCCGATGTGATACTTTCATCAACGACCTTTTTGGTTGCTCACATCCTTTGCAATATTTTTTGAACCCCATTTCAGATCAGTTCTTGACAGATCACTATGCTAGATCATTTGCTCCCTCACATTTTTCAATTTAGCAGTGTGAAACTAAGCCATGGAAGCCAAGAAAATCTTGTTGCCCATTGTACACAGAGGGTTGCTAGAAGGATTTTCAACCAACCATCAAAACAAAGCGATCGACTTTCTGCTTTAAAATCCCACAAAGTGTGGATCCGAATCTAATTGACTCAGCTCATCAAGCATCAAGTCAACCCAACCAACCAACCTAAACCAACAACAAACTAACAACATGTATGGAGTGCAGAGGTTTCTATGAAATCCAGTTTGGGCTCACAGCTACAAAACCAATATTTGTTTCAAATCAAATATTCAAATATGTTAAATACACCATAGACCATCAGTGGAACAGTTATTATATACCAGTCCCATGACTGGTCCGGGAATCCTCATTTGGACCGTGAACATTTACTCAAAAAAAGGTGCCCGGAGCCAAACCTGCGACACAATTGTGCGTCGGTCCAATTGAGCGGCTGCTCCTCACGAAACATTTGCAGACCAACAAAACATATCATGTCACATACCAAACAAATGGAACGTGATTTTAGGATCCCTGTCACTTGTTGTGTGAGTTTCGACCGTCCTTGGGGACATCATCCAGCCTGGGATGCCCCAGGATGGGTCCGAATCTTCCACGGGGACCCACACCGTCAAACCATCGAGAGTCAAGACACCAAAGCAAAAACTCTTCGAAATTGATTTCAGCGTCGTTGTCTTTGTCGGCCTGACAAACAACTTCGGCGCACATGATGTCACTGCACTGGGTCAGGCCATGAAAATCATGGCCCAAGTCCAAAGTTCGTTTCCCGCCCCATTAGCGGCTCCTGGTGCGTGGACCATCTCTGTGCCGCACAATGCCCGCTCTCTGAGGTCTAGACAGGGTAGCAAACAGACGTTAACTGTGGACTTCGTCATCTTTGATACACACCCAAGTGGTATCATCACCCATTGCTTAGGCTTAGGTCACCTGTTGCTTAGAGCGCCTCCAGACCTGGGGTTCGGCACGTCGGCTCGCCATGTCCAAATGCAAGCCTCCGAAGGCCTTGAGAACTGGGTGGCACCCCCCGGCAGGAAGAAAGCCCCAGCGGGAGTCAGTTGAAAAGTATTGTTATAAAGCAATATGTCAGCCCAAGCGTCTCCAACAAGGACTGGGCTCTTCAATTAAGCCACCTGAGAGCAGTATAGTAAACGCCAAAGCCGACAAGCCTGAAGTTTCAACAAGTCCATGAGCTTGCACAAAGGTGCAGAATAGCAAGCGCCGCGACTCAATCTTCAACTCCACGGGAAACGGGTTCGGACGAAGCAGCCCAAAAACGACATGCCTGACAACAACATCACTTATATATATATATATAGGTCGATTGTTGCAGGCAGTAGGACAGACCCAAAACATCACATTGAAGAAGCCAAGTCCCGGCTCTATTTCAACTATCAGGGCCACACAACAACAAACGAAGCCTCGGCAAAGCCCCGCTTTGCTGCAACAAGTGCTTGGCGCGTGGGCTGAACAGAACCCGGCAATCTGCCTATGTTTTTCGCGCGCAGAAGTTCGTCTGACTTGAAGTTATCACTTGCAGCAAGCGTGTCCAATCTTCACGCCTTCACGTGTGGCAACTTTGCTGTCGCGTCGGAGATCGAAATGCTCAGCCACGGAGTCATGACGTCAATCCGGACATAGACTTTGTCAGCTCGACTCCAAGCAAAGTGGCAGGATTTGGGTATCTGTGAAAGATGTTGATTGGGGCCTGGTCATACCATCCAAACGAACATGACCACCCTTCGAGGAACAACACCTCTGGCGTCCAAAAAACCCTGGAGATATCTGGAGCCCAAAAGGCCTCTGTAATCCTATAATATCCTATATACTAAGAAGTTCTCTACCAGCACCACCCAGGTCGGATGAGTGCAACATGCTTGGAGTCTGTAAAGTCTGTAAACCACCACCACCCAGAGTGAATCCCTTAAAGTGGTCCTGGGTGAATCTCTTGGGGTGGTCCTGAGTGAATCCCTTGGGGTGGTCCTGGTAGATCCCTTGGGGTGGTCCAGAGTGAATCCCTTGGGGTGGTCCTGGTAGATGTTTGCTATTTTCCCGAATGCGTAACGAAGGGTTCTCGTTTAACTCTGGGGGTCTGGGGGTAGGGTCTTGTTCGGGACGCGTTGTCTCAGCGTTCGCAACCGTTCTATGAATGTTCCACAGCGGACCGCAAAACTGATGCTCAGCAGGACTCAGCAGCTTCTTGAAGACCTACACTAGCTGCGAGTCTACGACAAGTCTGAAAACGCATACCCTCCTCCCCTGGTGTAACGTTTTGGAACGACGGTCATTCTTTTCCAACATGGAGCGCCAATGGGCTACCCGTCGGTTCGCATACTAGAAATCACTTGGTCTTGAAGGTAGTTTGTTCTTCCATGTTCCACGTCTACATGTAATTTATGAACATGAAATGACGTATATACAGTAAACTTCTTTGTTGCATTAACATGATCATTCTTCAGTATACCACACTCCGAACGCACTGTGTTGAAGGCGGACCAGGTCCTTGAGATGTCTTGACATCTCAAGACGGACGTGGCGTTGCTCGGATCAAGACGTTAGATATGAAGTTGTCTTATCCTCTTCGCATCAGCTCTTTCCATGGATGTTCATCATATGTGTGCTTATCAAGATGGGAACTATTCTCATGAAGGCGTCGTCGTCATCCTCATCCTCAAGCCTCGTATACCACCTCCTGTTCCCGTTGCCTCAAGTTCTCACATCCCTCTCTGTCGAAACGCTACCCGCCTTGCTCCAGTTCAAATGTAGCAAGTGCATCGGTGTGGCTTCATCTGCCTTGATACTGCAGCGGTCCCGGATCGCCTGCCGGGTCCATGGCAACGCGAGACGTTCCCGGTTGGGCTTCAGCTGGGGACATGAGGGGTCGGGAACAACAAGCATGGTCCATTTGGCCAAAGGGGGTATAATCTCTGTGGGCCAATGGGTCCAATTGGACCATGAAAACAAGGATCCATTTGGGACCATTGGGGGGGTTCGCTTTGGGCGGATGCGACTTAGGGCGCTCGGACCGGTGGTGTTTCGGTGGACCGGTGCGTCCACCACTCTGTTGGGTCCTCGGATTTCGCTGGCTCGGTTGAGTCCTGCGGTCTAACGCAGGCAAGCGGATGTGTTCTCCACGGTAGAACCGGTGATTCCTTCAGGAAGTGATATGGGATCGAAACGAATGTCTTCCAAAAAATGCCTGATGATGGCACATCCGGCCGGACTCTATAGTCCTAGTTGGTGGACTTGCAAGTCTCAAACATCGACAACATAGTATGACTTGCAAAACAGAAATCACCCTCTTTAAAGGGGAATGCAGCATGGCATGCATGAAACAAAACACATATATATATATATACTTGTGCTGCATGCTTTGGTGATGCTAACCGTCAAGTCCTACGGTCCAAGCAAGAAGTTCCTGTCTTTGCTTTGGCTCCTGCGCCTTGCTTGGGATTTGTACCTGGAAACCCGGTCCCAAGCAGAAACAATGGAATGTGTCCCCAAAAGGCCACTTCCTATGTACTACGTAAAGCATCTCAATTGCCATATTGGAACAACCATTTGTTTCTTGTTTGGGTTTCCAGGTCAGGAAAAAGGTGCGTTGGTGCGTTGGTGTCTTCCAACATCCAAACAGCACATCCACCTACACACCAAAAGCGCCCCCGAACTTGCTGTGTGGTGTAGACAGCAGAACAAACGGTGATCAGCGTAGGTAGGCATAGGTGCTTCAGCCTGCTCGAACTCCTCAAACGACAATCTTCCATCACCGTTCTTGTCCAGCGACAAGAACTCCTGACCGCCGGAACAGCGATTCTGGGAATTTTTTCAGTGCACTTCAACACCACGTGCCACAGAACAGTCAGACTTCACGTAGATCTCCACGCATCCAGAACTGGGTTTGCATTGAGCAAATCCGCCCTACTCCGCCGTCGGATGCAGCGCGCCGCGTGAAAAAAACACCGCAGCCCTCGACCGGATCGATGATCGAAATCGATGGCAGGAGACTCCTGCTGTCGACTGTTACACCCCTGAACGCACCAAGAATGCACCAAGAATTGGAGTCATGTCATAGTACAACGTTCCCATCTCACGGAACTCCAGGAAAAAGATTGGAAGGTGCCCTCACCTTTCTGCACACTGCATGAGTGGTCATGTTCCTCAACTGTCCCATACAACTTGGGGCAGTGAATTTGGGTGAAATCCCACCAGTCCGCCGCAGGCATGCTGCCCCCACCAATCCCCGACTCCAATTCCACCTCCAAGCTCTGCCGCACCATGGGCACTGTCAGCCTATGGTGCTCGTGGTTTTTGGGGGCACCCTCCCGTGGTGGTTCTCCCGTGGTTTTCAAGGACACCCGAGAGGTGCCAAGAGATCGGCAGAGCATCCCGAATAGTAGCAAAGATTGATCCCCAGTTCATATCCAAATGTAGGATCATGATGGATCATATATATATATACAGTATATATGTGCCTATAATGGCCTAGGGATCCAATATGATCCAATCACCTTCTTCAGGAGGTGTGTGGATCCCTGCCTAGGGATAGATAGATGGCTATATTTCATACATGGAGTGTCTGTGAGCGGTCACCGGTGCTGTCAGGAGGAAAAAAGCACTTCCCTCAACAGCCGTGGCAGAAGAACGCCCTTGTCGGGTCCAGTGTTGGGGGCGGAGAAGGTGAGAAGACCTTGGGGGCTTCGAAGTGCCTGGCACGGACCTTTTGGGTCGCTCCAAATAGGAAGCACTCCCGAACCCGCGTGAGACCGGAGGCCGAGGCCGAAGCTGAGGGGGTCGCCGTTGGCACCGTCGGGATACGATCCGGCCCGATGCCCTGCAGGAACCCTGGCCGGTGCTTCTTCGCGAGCTCGCTGCAGGTGGCGAAGCTGAGCCTCGTGGCGAAGCAGAGCGGCTCAGCTTAATGCTGCCCTGGGAAAGGGGGGTGGCACTGGGCTTTTGAGGAGGTCTTTTGGGGTGAATGTATGCGAATATAAGGATCTCAACTGCTTCTACCATCACCAAGCAGTTTAGAATTGGTGATTCGATGGTAAAACATGGTAAAACATGGTAACACTATAGTAATCTATAGTATTATAGTTTATGGGATCCCAGGATCTAGAAACCACGCACCAGAAGGGCCCTAGCTAGTGCTGGTAAAGAAAGACTATGAAAGACTACATTCGAACCACAATGGGACCAGTCAAGAGCAACACTGAAATGTTTCACCAAAGACTTACTGGCTGAAAGAGCCTAAAAGAGACCGAGGTCAAATTCTGGAAAAACTAATCCCATCCTTTTGTTGTGTTTCTTCCGTAAGAATCCGGGCCCTCAAACGAGTAGGGTTTGGTTCGGGTCCGGACCCCTGCTAAGAGGTCGGGCCCGACCCCTGCCATGCAAAGCCGGTACAGCGTTGTGTCTATTTGTGATTTTCACAGTCCGGTCAGATGATCGACGGTTGCTTCGCATGGTTCGAAGCCATTTTCATCGTCCGGACTCAGCTGGGAACAAATAGCTCAACAAACGTCAACAAATGCTTCTTCCACCCTGAAAGAACCCTCAGGAAGGTGCTCCAAACTGGGTTACTTAAGACGCAAATTAACAAACAGCTGGCCAGCCGATAGAAAATGAAACAGTCGATGTTGTCTGCGTCCCAGCCTCTCGCCGAGACGTGAAAAAATTGATCGAACCGTCATGGAAGAACATTGACCTCAACATCCCACCTTCCACGTCCCCATCTCCTTCCAGAGACATGGAATTGGTTCCTTGATCCTCTCCCTTCCCGTTGGTGGCTCTCCAAACATCCACAACACCCAACATCTTCAGGTGACCACCTGATCTTCAAATCACCAGCTGGTCTGCGCTCCCCACCGCGCTGTCGGTCGGCCCTCAAGGGCCCCCAGGTCCCCAGGCTCTCGTCCATGTCGCTCGTGCTGGCCATCGTCTGGGGCGACCGCCCGCGGGGGCGATAGCGACGCCGGGGCGGACGCGCGACCGGCCCCGCTGTTCGGTGATCCGCAAAAGGACTCGCAACGATGGAGATGGAGGCTCGTATACACCAGCACCTGACTCTGTCTCCGAAATGGACTCTTGTGGATGTTGCAGACTGAAAAGTGGCAGGTGGTGGTGACCTGTGGTGAATTAAGGGTGCCGGTATGAAGAGATTTTACACCCCAAATCACAGTAGGTTTGGTATGGCAGTGAGAGTCTAGAGCGTGAGGCATTCATTCCACTGGCTTCGGACCCGGCCAGGGGTCCGATGCGGTGCCTGCGGGGGCCGCTTCTTGCATCCGATGCCTTGGAGGTTGCCGTCGTGTGACAGACTTCCGCCCACCCAAAGACTCTATGGAGCCCTCTTCCATGCCCTCTTCCACCCCAAGGGCTTCGGTGTTTGGAGCCCTCTTCCACCGGGGTCAGTGAACCGTAGCCAGCGGTTGTTTGTTTAGGTCCCCCCTGTAGGCGGGTGTACCCAGGCGGTACGGTAAGCGGTACGGCACAGGAATCACCGATCTGTGCGGCGGTTTCAGAGATCTGAGGGCATGGGATATCTCAACCGTCTCAAAACTAACATGGCCATCTCTACCTGGACCCTCCAGTTCGGCCCGCGTAGGCCCTAGAAAATGGGACCATGACTATGACATACTATGACCCATTTTGACCCCAAAAAAGAAACCAGATAGTTACTGGGGCCCCAAGTTGCGAGGTAGAAAGAACAGGTCGACTCCAGGTAGAAACGTGAGTAGCCCACGACTGATTGTCCCTCCGTGACTTGGATTTGCTGAAAGAACGTTCCGGGACTTCCCGCGCCTTCTTGAGTCAGGCATCCAACATAGCTACATAGCTAGGAACAGCGTAGAAGCTCGGATGTGCTAGGCCTCTTCCATCATCTTCCCCACATGGAACTCACAACATGCACCGTCTTAAGTCACCTTGGGTGGTGATGTCGTGAAAACACTCCCTTGCGGGGGGGATCTCACCCGAGGTCGATCTCCGGTGTTCCGCCATCGACTGCGTGACCAAACCTGCTTCAGCGACTTGGGAATACAAACACTCGCAAAGGACCATCTACAGTGGGTCAATCTGTTTCTGTTCACCAGTGAACAAGAAACTGGCGAACGCATGCGAACCGTGGGGAACTTCAATCCTGGCTTCTGTTGCATGGAAAGGTTCTCTTGTTTCAGTCTTCTACATGGCCGGGTCATGTCAATGAGAGCCGTTTCCTCCCACTGCGCATGGCACATGCTGCGCCATGCCCATGGCGCGGCCCCAAAAACCACCAACGACCCGTCAGCGAGGATGAACCAACATGAAGCAACAGGCCTTTGACGGGACAGTTCTTTCGACCCTGGTCAGTCTCTGGGTACACCAAAGCCCTAAACCGCTGGCCGTCACCTGTCTGGTTCGACCTGCCAGGTACACCCAACGCGACCTTTGGGAGACCGGGTCGACCTGTTGGAGGATGCCGGTACATGAAGACCTGGTGAGAATTGGTGGTCAATAGCTGGATGATGCTGGATGCATGTTTGGGGGAAAGCAATTGAGGCGTTTCGCTGATCACAGATCCACCTGTAGATCCTATAGTGCTGGGTATCCTGGCTGGAGACCTATAAGCGGTGGGCTGGGTTGTCCAGCTAGGTGACCTCAAATGGAGGGCAGCTTCTAGACACAAAAGTGTCCGATGGGACCACCTCAAAGTTCCTTTCGTCCTTCACAATGGAGACACGGAGATTCACGCAAAAACTTCACCAAGTCAGAGACTAACTCAACCAATCTTTACACCAACTTCTGCCCTTGAGCAAAGTCAAAGACTAACTACACCAATCTGCCCTTCTTCGACCTGCAACAGGGCCTTAACCTCCGCCCCCAGTCGGAGACTACCTATACACCCACGACTCTTCTGCCCTTCTACTGATCCACGGACCACGTGAGCACCGACCCCGGAATCGAGCCCGTGAACCCCGCGGAACGGGAATCGGACACCGCGCGGGACACGACCGGGTCACGCCGACATTCGATGGTTCTTCTTGGAGCCCATCGGGCCCACCACCGTGGTCTTCCTGGCGGTTGGCACCAGAGAGCCCGAAGGGTTGCAGGAGGACCCGTGGCGCTCGAAGAAAAGCGGTGTTTTGGGGGGGGTGAAGAGGAGTCTCCATGCGCAGGATGGAGCTTGTTGTTGGCATGAAGGGCTCATGAAGGGGCATGTCTTGGGGAAGCAACATGGCTAAGATAGAATCTTGACACCAAGTGAATGGAGCTGGACGGTTTTGGCGCTTTGCAGAACTTTTGACAAACCCTTGGACACCCAACCGAATGAGCTCATCAACTTGTCCACCATATCTCTCACTGAAACCGCCGGAAACCCTACCGTGTGGCTCCGTATATAAATCCACTCTAAAGATGAACCCAACTTTCCGCCTGTTGAGGATCGGGAAAAACAAAAACATCCCCACTCATCCCCATGTGCCAACATCCTCTCGATCTTTCCTTTGGTGATTTCAACTCGCTTGAAATATCATCCCTATCGATTACCTTAGAGGGGGCGTCACCTAATTGTAAGTTACAATTTCCTAGGTTTGATACCTCAAAACATGTAACTTGCAAATACTAATTTGCCTGACAAATTGTAACTTACAATTGTGAGACTTCTGAATTGGTCAGACATCCAATAGGCCAGAAAAATGTAACTTACATTTATCCAAAAATGTAAGTTACATGTTTGAGGCTTCATTGAATAGTATTGCATTTCTCAACATGTCAAAGCAGAATCAGCAGTTTTTTTTCCGGCGCCAGGAAAAGTCGGAGGGGGTTGAAAATGCAACTACACACGTCGGAGGCAGTAAGTTACATGTTTTTCACCCCCCCCTTTTAAGCAGGAAGTTACATTTATCCAACCCCCCCAAAGTGAGTGGTTTGGGGGGATAAATGTATATGTAAAGGTCTCCCACGTTCTAAGTTACATTTTTGAGCACCCCCCCCTTCCAAAGGACGTCAAGGGGGGTGAACTTACAATAAAAACCACTTTTAGGGGGGACGTCCCCCCCTCAATGTAAGTGAGATTTGTGACGGTCCCCCCCCTCAACTCCGGTAAGGGGGTAGGGATGAAATATCTTGAAACCGCCAGTGGGATCGATCATCTCAAGTAAAGGTCGACAAGGAACATCCACAGACTCCAAAACAAAAAGGCTGTGACTCCAAAAGATGGTTTTCACGCCGATTCGATCCAAAACAAAAGATGAGACCATCCTTCGTAAAGGTGGTGTAAAATCCTCAAGGCAGCTGCTTC